CTGTTAAACACGCCCTGTTCAATCACTTGTAAAGTGAGTCCCAGCAACAATGGAGGAGGAGGAGGTTCGAACCGCAGACTGCCTCAACACACCCGAAGTGCGGAATATGGACATTCCATTAGACTAAACAACCATGCTGAACTATATGCAATCCCCACGTGGTAACGAGTCATCGAAGTTCGAATTTGGTCGATTCAAACTTGATCCCTCACCTAACACATTTCGCCATGAGCTGAGTGCACATTAGATGCTTCGTGAATTGACTAGATTACAGATAAATATGGGAATATCTACTTAGACATGTCTGCTAAATGGACAACTGACTTCTCTCCCCTAGTATGATCATGAAGGCAATTAGGTTGAATAGTGGTTCCTGACACTGGTCAGATTCTGTAAAGGAATCAATCCGTAAATAGTCTCCTAATATGGGAGAGAGGATGAGTGACCATCGGGAATGGCGGGGGATTCGGGGTTTGAAGTGGGAACATACAGCAAGTGAGTCCACCAGAGTAACCACAGTTGGAGCACCGAAGCTGGAATAACCTCACAGGAGGGGATTTACATGGCAAGCATGTCCACTTTAGTGCAGTGGTTATGATGTATGCTCTCAACTCCTAGTTCCATGAGTTCGAACCTCGTGTTGGGGGCCTTTTTGTGAGCTGTTTAATCAGTTGATTAACCACTGTTACCCTGTGGTTAAACACTGTTCAATCCCAGTCCATGTGGTGTTTTGCCAGCGGTATAGAGTACTACCATTACCTTGATGCAGATCCCTGAATCACTTGAGCCTTAGGATGTGGTGAGTCATGTCGTGTCGGCCACGATTAAAAATTACTGCGTTCAGCCCGGACCTAGACATCAATTGTCTAGCCGGACGGAGGCCGGGCTAAGCGACTAGACACGCTGATGGGACGTGTCTAGCCCGTGATGGGACGTGTCTAGCCCGTGGTCTAATCGCTTAGCCAGGCCTCCGTCCGGCTAGACAATCGATGTCTAGGTCCGGGCTGAACGCAGTGAATGCGTGTCTGGCATCCAGTCAAACACAGTGCAGCTGTTGGATCCCGGTGCTGAATGAAGGCACAGTCATGGACCTGGAACTGATCCATACGGCTTGTGTTAGACCAGAGACTGTTCTGTCTATGGAGGTGAACCTGTCGATAGACAGTTTACTTTCGATACGACAGGCTGGATTCGAGCCTAGGCTTGTGTAATGTTCCACCATTTTCAACCGAGTGCACGTGACCAAACATCTATTATCGGCAACTGGCTAGTGGGCCACCTTACCATTTCTGTCCTCGAGGCCGTACAGAGAGATGATCTAATACTGGTCTATGGGCTCAGAAACGAAGGTATACATCCTATCTGTGGACTAAGATATTCTTCAGGAATTTACGTTCGTATTTCATGGCCCGAATCCGGGCCGTATCCCAAAAGAGGAATAAACGGCTTAGTGGGCCACCCGGCCAAATCGTTGGTGCGCATTCATAAAATTGGCCCCGGCGCATTCCAAATCATTCAGTAGATTGAGTTATAGGATTGGGTACATTCAGTCTGCAAATCTGACATGTATTGGGGCCATAGTTGCTCGCCTTTCAAGCCATCTATGATGGGTGAGATTGCTGTCCGGAAAGAATAGCCCGAAATTGAGATTCAAATCACTTCAAAGGAAGTATTGGGACATACCTAATTGCACAGGACGACCCCCAAATACCCATAACCCGCCCAAAAAAATACATCTTTATGTGCAACCGAAATCCGGTGGTTTAGAGTGGTAGCCCAGCGTGAACGGAAAGTCGGCCAGTTAAGATCCAAATTGACGTTGGAGGATGGCCTATTGGTGGTATCGAATGCACTGACCCAGTTCCAAGTTATTAGCGAAGAGGAGTGGATCGCTATAGAGGTCCAAGAGGCGAAAAAACTTTGTTTTCACATTCGTACGGACTTGAGTCATTGATTCGAACCAGGGCAATCGAACGAGCCCAAAAACTTGTGAATCGGCGAAGAAGTGGTCACGAAACAAGCCGCGTGAGTCGCTCGGAGATAAGAAATGATGATCAGACACCGGCATCTCGATCAAGAACCGTCCACGGTTTTTGATCGCCGCATCACTCTGGCTCAAAATTTCACATACAGTGTCGCGAGAGGTCATATTCCATCCTGCAACCACCAAATCCCGGGATTCTATATCACAGGGCCTGACCCCCATAGAGACAGTATTACAGCCATACGACCTTGTGTATTACGAACATGACAATTCACTCCGGTGGTGCCAATTTTTACAAAACAAACCGATCTCGTGTTTTAACTAATAAGGTCCCACTATTACAGCCATACAATGACGAATGTGCTCGCGGAATGGCTCTCGATCCACGGGGTCAAGCAGGCGCACATCGCTGGTCCGTCGCTTCATTCTCGCATTTCCCCGTGCGCATGTTGATTTGGTTGTGCACAGAGACGGAGAAGTGCGCGCACGTCACGTTCTTCTTCAACGAGGAGCGCTTCATGATTCCCTCGCACAAGGTCCTTCCTCTCCCTCAGGCGTGTGTCGGCTGGTGATGAGCGTGGTGTGTTTTAGGTCGCGACATACGATCTGCAGCCCGAGATGAGCATTCAGGCTGTCGCGAATAAGGTTTCGATCTCCTCGTCTTTTCCTGCTGGAGATACATGTAACTGTGGTCTTTCCGGTCGCTGATTTCGGTCAAAGCGGGACTAAATCGTAGAGGGGGGTTTTCAAATAGCATTAACAGGGGGGGGGGCGGGTCGTTGAATAAATCAAGATGCAGAAATAAATCCCCAGCAACAATGATTTGCCTTGCGGTAGTGCAACAAAGTTGATAACTTGGTTTGCCCCTTACGGCTCCCAAGTTGAGTTCGCTATTGGGTCAACAGCGTCGAGACAGGCGCTTCGACAGAATGGATGGAGTTTGTACGTCGCCTGATGAGAATGCTTGGCAATGATCAGTGAATGTCAACCCCGGTGGAAGCCGGTGATTGTTACTATAGATTCTCACTATGTTTTTTCTTCCATGACAGCCTCCCGGCTGATCTCGCCATTTCGTGAGGTCTGCATCCCATGGTCTGTTCACGCCCGAGCAGGCGTGGATGATAGTTTACATACAAGGAAGTCTCCCAACGGAGCACGTCTTCTGCCGGTGGCGTGAGCGTCACATGAATGATGGGATACCGTTGTACACAGCTTCTTCTTGACTACATCCCACGACGACGCGCACGCCCTCTCTCATCCCTCTACTGTGCCCCTCAAGGGCCTTCCTTTCTTCCCTCCGCACTCAGTCAGATTGAACTTCATTGAGCGAATGTATTCAACTCACCTCGCCCTGCAAAATCAAAACGATACGGAGAGCATCGCATGGCCCAGGCCCGAATCGAACGAGCGCCCTGCTTTTAACATCTGATATGCTGACTTATTGGGTGCAGATGCGGACCATTCATCCTTCATCTACTCTCAGTGACCCTCCTTACATTCACCACCGGTCGCGAGTGCATGCACCTCACCCAGAGAGATAGAGATACGTCCGGCTTCCGCCGGAGGAACGAATACATAGAATTGGCGTAGAATGTAAACGCCAAGTAACTGGCACGAAGGGGCAGAGATCACTCGCGCGCAAGAATGAGTCCGCCCGATGCGTCCCAACAAGAAAGAGACGGAAAAGGAAAGAGATGAGGTGCACCGCGAGCCGCGTGCGACGTGTGCATTGTGGGTGCAGGCATGTCGTAGCACAGGAGGTGGGACATGCGGCGTGCGCGGTCCGCGTCGGTGCGGCGGAGGGGCGATGTCGCTCGGACGTGAGGGCACGCGCTGACGGGGACGCTAGCTGGCGCAGCAGAGCAGTACGAAGGTGGGATGCGCGCCGGGGGTAGATGGTCCGCGCCGCAAACGGAGCGCGGCTAACGCAGCAGTACGAGCTCGATGGGCGGGAGCGCAGGCGGTCGATAGCGGGACGCAGCGTCGCAGACGGGTGGGGTGCTCATGAACGATCCTAACGTAAGCTCACACCGCCGCGCAGGACATGATTGAGAAAATAGTAGGCTTTCGGATGTAAACATGCGGGCATTGGTTCGGTATCCCCACGCCTCCCTCCACCCTCGTCTCTTTCTCCGTCTCGTTCTGGATCGAGTGCGCGTTGTTTTTGCGGTGCTCTGCAAGGCAAAGGGCTGCACGTCAGCGGGGCGCCCACATGCGGAAGGTACGAGGGGTACGCACTCAGGTGCAATATGACCATGTCATCCGTCAGCACGACGTAGCAAAAGGAGACGCAGACACGCACGCTGATAATCCAACATATACCCGATCAAAAACAAGGCGCCAATAAGGCCGAGCACCGACCCCGCGCTCGCGTTCTTGCCGCTGAAGAAGTGCATCTTGGCCCCGCGAATGTGGGCTGTCAGCTCTGTCACGACACACAGACTGCGCGGGGTCGGGGGTAAAGGAAGGGAAGGGTGGGAAGTGGCGGAGGAAGGGTCGCACGACCTTTGGTGCTGGGATCTTTGCAGGGACGAGCCTGCCGAGGGAGCGCCGGATGAGCGAGCCGTGCATCGAGGAGAGGTGTATGCACGTACTCGTATTTGGCGGTCGCTTCCGGAGTGATCCGGTTTGATGACGTGTTGTTTCCTTGCGTCTTCGGACTCTTCCTCCGTTCTATGCATGTGGATGACAATCCCGCGGCTGCGCGCTCTATCGGTCTCCACTCACCCACGCTCTGTCCTGCCCTCTCTCACCGCTCACCCTTCTCCGTCCTCCGATCTGATTCGTATCGACACTCGTCGCATCTACGCGAGTTCGCGGGGTGCGCTGGAACTGCTCGAGAGCGCTTGTACTTGCAGCATACACCCGGATCCCATGCGGCTCGCTCAAGAGCGCTCGTTCCACTGGAAGCCCGGCCATTTAATCCGTTCTTCCGCCCGATGAAACATATTTTTCTTCCGCCGCGGTGAATCACTCAAAAAGTTGGATGTGAGGAGGTTCACCGGGAGTAGTGGGAGGCCCGGTAGCGGATGGTGCACACCCGCACCATATTATCGGGCCAGTAGTTTGCAGTGGGAGCGCTCGTTCGACTCGAGCCCGGGCCATTCATCTCCTCCCGTGAGCTTCTTTTTGTGCGGGGTGAGTCTATTAGGTCGTTCAATGCACTGAATCTGACTATGACTAAGTTGATGGGGAAGATAAGAAGGCCCGGTAGCGGGAGTCCGCAGCTGTACCATGTATGACGGAGATATAGAACCTTTCCCGCAGGCCGCTCGTTCGACTCGAGCCAGGGCCATTGAGATCTACAACGATGGCTTTTTGCCCCCGGTGAGGGGTCGATATCACAAGACGCTGTCAGGAATTTCCCCTCCCATTAATATTTGTCGGAATTGAGTCTAGGAGGTGGCCGAAATGACCGGCCCCGATGGAATATCCTCAACAATTAAACAGATAGTTATGACTCACTGCTTCGGTCAGATTCGAGTTAGATGAGCAAAGATTTGAAAGAATGAATTTGAATCCCTGTGCGCATTCACCCATACCGTGCATCAGGCTTTTGACAAAAAACTTGTGACCTTTTTGGGCTTGTGAGCTTGCTGACAAGCTCACAAGGTCAAAAAGGGTCAGAAGTGAAAAAACACCCTTCGTGAAATCGGCAATTGATGCCATGACGATCCTTGAAAAAAAAAAATTTGAAGAAAATTTTGACCTTGTGGAAATTGGGACATAGTTTGTGGCCTTGCGAGCTTGCGACGTTTTTGGTGAAGCTTGTGACCTTGTTTGGCCTTGTACAAGGTCACAAGTTATTTGTCAAAAGTCTGATGTGGTGGGCAACTCCCGTGCGGCGGTGCTCTTTTGTTGCTGTAGGTTGCTGCATTGTGACGTGACAGGAAGGTGACATACTTTCTCCGCCCTTGCTCTATGTTAGGGTCTTGTAGATAATTCCCAGAGGGATTAAAACCCGTTTTTTGAAACCGGTTTGCAAACAGGGCGGTTATAAACGTGTTTATGAACACACCAGCAAAATCGCTCCAAGGCTGTGTCCATACCCATTTTTCCGCCCGAACCGACTGCAATCCACAAAATATAGTGTCGTTCAAAGTTGCTCCTACTTTCCCCCTATTCGCGCTCCTACTCACTTTTCTACTTGCCTTCCTACACCAAGTAGGAGCACAAGTAGGAGGCAAGTAGGAGGCCAAGAGGCTTGTTTTTGCGAAAAAGGCGCTCCTACTTGCTCTTCTACTTGCACTTTGGCAGTGTTTTGGAGTATGAGAGTCTTCCTACTTGCTTCCTACTTGAAAAATACAGGGGGGGTGGTTTCAAAGTTGCTCCTTTTTGGTTTCCTACTCAGTCCAGTTTTTCCTTCGTTTTTGACATTTTGGCTGTAAAATGACAGGTAGGAGACGAGTAGGAGCACAAGTAGGAGCGCAAGTAGGAGCAACTTTGAACAACACTCATGTCCCTTTCGGCCAAAATATGGTCTCAAGATGGAATAAACACTATTTTGTGCATTCTGACCGTGATATGCCAGGCCATACAGCTGTCGGGTTGGTTCAATTTTGCAGCAATCCCCCACTTAGTCATTGGTGTAAAAGTTAGCCTGTGCGGTGGTTTTGGTTTGGTTCAAGAGAGTCTCTGACACCGAAACTTCCAAGGAAATTTGGTACGTGCACCCCCCCCTTCAAACATTAAAAACAGGCCATTTCACGTCAACCATTTATGGACCGGCGTTTATGAACCGGCATTTATAAACCAGCACAATATACAAGAGCCTATTGCTCTTGTCCCCTCCCGTATCACTGAGATCCGTCAGCTGATATTTGACGAGTTCAATGTCCCGCCCTACGACCGTCGCGTCAGTCCACCAATTCTGGCGGCGCTCGCGAGGACTTGCTAGATATTTCAAAACCCGGCGCTTGACCTGCTATGGAGACGGCAGGACACTCTCTTGAACTTCGTGAACTGCTTCCCCGATGGTCTCGTTAAAGAAATAGGGTGAGAGGAGGGAAAGTAAAGTACCTCAGCATAGGCGAACCCAATACATTCGCTCGCGGCTGCATTGAATATCGAGTCTTCTGTAGCGCCTTCTTCGGCCCATGTCATATGATGACCGGGACCGCCGCCTATTCTCGTCGGCCGAGCTGCTAACGCCGTATTTGGGGCACATGTGTTTCCCCGCCTGAAAAATCGAGCTCCATCTCCGTACCCAGCTTACAGCGTTATCGCGAGTTCTTCCTACCTTGCCAAGGCATTGCCCTTGGTTGAAGGAAATCACCACCTCAACCAATGACTCCAGTGCATCACATCGCTCAGTCTCCTCCTTCATCGGGTCCTTGGCGCATATCGAGAGGAAAATCTCGACCGAGCAGCATTCGAGCACCTCGAGCACCTTCCAACTCTGAAGACCTTACGGATTTCCGATCCACACGTGGCCGCTGGGACCTCCACTCTTTCCTTGTCCGAGTCCATATCGTCATTTCCTCCCTTGAAACTCTGGGGTTCGGTCCGACCACCCTTGAAAAGATCACTGCGTTCGTCGACAGAATCGCCGCCTTTCCGCTGCAAGTCTTAGAGATTGATGAAACCAGTACTCCGCCCACCGGAGCTGTCGCCCGACTTCTTTTCGCCACGTTGACGGTCCATTGCTCCCATAATTCTCTTCAAGGAATCGATACAGGAGCTATTGGTTCTTGGACGTCCGGGGGAGCGGATCCGATCGACGGCTTGACACTCCGAATCCTGGTCTGTTTTGCCAACCTCGTGAGCGTCGCCTTATGCCCACCCTTCTTATTCGACTTGGACGATGCAGATGTCGACGAGACTTCACGGGCGTGGCCGCGCATCGAGGACCTGGAGGTCAAATCTAGGGCCGATATGCGGTCTCGCGTCACACTGCGGGGTCTCTCCTCTTTGGTAGGGCTGCCACCCATGCCCGTGACGGGCACGGCCGTCGAATCCACGACTTTTCTACGGCACCGGCCGTCTCGAAACGGCCCGTCAAGTGGCTGAAAAAATCCTTGACGGCACGGCACGGTCAACGGCACGGCCGTAACGGGTACACGGGTATGCTTGAAACTTTTTATGTTTGTTCCTTGGTCTGAATTCGATCCCTCGGCTCCTACGAGTTATATGATGACCTTGATGAGCTGTCAGACGTCGATCTCAGAAATTGGTGGAGCTATAACCAATATCTTAGTGCTTAGAGAAGCACATGTATCCTCAAATATTCCAGGAATGGTGCTGAGAGCGTATAATGTTGACTGGACCCCCTTCAAATGGATAATATTGGAGGAATCAGTGAACACATAGAGAAAGTTGACGGTGAAACGAACTTGAAAGTCCGCCATCACTTTCGGCAATTGCCGGTATTGCCACAACTTGACTGCAGCTTGCAAGTTTGGAGGCAAGAAGTGTCAGAATACACAGAAGGCATGTTGAATGTGTGCCGGGGACACTTGAGACACGCTCCATTCGAAATTATGCCTTCCCGATGACGGGGAAAAAACAAGCCGTTCCACGGCCGTGACGGCCGTCTTTTAACGGGCCGTCAAGGTACAAACCCGTGCCGTTGAACTCTGGCAAAAATGGCCGACGGAACGGGCACGGCACCCGTGCCACGGGTGCCATCGAACCGTGGCCACGGTCACGGGCGGCAGCCCTACTCTTTGGTGCAGCACTGCGCGCATTTCTCCGGCCTGGAGATGGCTTTCGACGCAACGTCCATTCCTGAATGGGATTGCGCGCTGGCGACATACCCACCCCAGACGATGCCTCGCTACATTTCCGTTGCAATCTCTCGCATCTGGGCGGCGCCGGCTGTTGCAACGTTCATCTCCGGGATCTTGCCGAATGCGACTGTTGACTGTTACCCATATGATGATGGCCACGGACTCGAGGAGGAGGAGATGTATGTGAGCAGGTGGGAAGAGGTAAAGGGGATTCTCAAACACTGCGTTCCGTGGCCCCGGAGATAGGGCCTGTGGTCCTTGACTGACGTGTGCCGAGGTGCCGATACGGACCCCGTGGCCATCACCTCAGCACAGCTGTGCCGCCTTGACTGACACCTCGCCGCCGTCGCTTCGACGGAGCCTTTCTCCCTGTGCCTAGCCTTCGCGACACATTGTGGCAGACCTCGGTTATCTCTTGCCCTCCTTCATCCCTTCTTCCACTGTATTTTGTGCTACCAAGAGGCTGCACATAATATGCTTATGATACACAAGATATGCCATCGCTTCGCTCCGGTGTTTAGATCGAGATCGCACCCGACGTTTTTTCTTTTATGAAGCCATTGGTAGGGCAAATGGGTTCTCAGGAGTTCCGTGAACGCAAGTCGGTGAGTGATTGTTAACGAACTCTGGAAAGTTCGTGTGCCGTTTCAAGGTTTACTCAGTCGGGCGTGGGCTCGAGACGCGAAGATCATTAAGAAAAGAATATGCATTCGGATGTACACACGCGGGCATTCGTTCGGCATCACCACGCCTTCCTCCCTCGTCTCCTTCTCTGTATCCACTTCGAGGTCGATCGCACTCTAGTGCGCGTTGTTCTTGTGGTGCTCTGCAACTAAAAAACATCAGCGTGGAATAGAAGGAGACGAGGGGGGTCAGGGGGCCGGAGCCGGTGGGGCATGCATCGTGGGGTAATTAGAAGGTGTATGTGCGTATTTGGTTAGGACCCGGTGGCGGAGTGATCCGGGTTGCTGACGCGTGACGCGTCTTCGTCTGAGCTTGAGCGCAGCTTTCATTAGGGTTGTTCGCAGTAGCCCTTTTCGGCTCCTTTTTGCACTCCTTTTTGCTTCCTTTTTTGCTTCTTTTTTGCTGTTTCCCAGCCATTTGAACAAAAAGGAGTGAAAAAGAGCTATTGTGAACGGGTACTCTCGAAACGGGGCTGCAGGCTGCGTGTTACTCCTCAATACCGATTATAATGACACGCACGAATAGCTGCACATCCATGGCCCCGTTTCAGTCCATTCACGGTTGAGCTCCGTGGTCTGCATACATTGTGCCTAGGCTACAGTTCCACCAGTACCCGTACAACACTATTGTCCTGACCGCGACCAACCAACCAACCAATCAACCAACCCACTGAAATCCGCAGCTGAAGAGTG